CTAAAAAACGTCTAGTGGTCCTTGGTTGTCCATTAATGTTGTTTTCAGTTATCCATTGATATTACAGACAAAAGTAATGGATAGGCTGTCTGAGAACTCTGGACATAGCGGCAGAACCTGTTAACAGGCTAAGTGCTATAGGGTGAGAGAATGGGGCGCCCGTCACCAAGCTGCTCCTTCCCCCAGTTCCAGAATGAAGACTGAGGTCTTGGAGCACCAGTACTCTTACCCATGCCCTAGTTTCCTTTGGCTTTTGGACAAGGAGGTAGATGCCAGGGATCTGAGTGTGTGTGCTGGGGTGCCTATTCATCTGAAGATTTTTTCACTATCCCCCCAATTTTTCAGCTGCATCCTCCACTCCCACTCTCCATTTTACCCAGACTCACGTTCCTTAAGATCTGCGTGCAGGCCGGCCCTCCTCCTCACAGTCCCCTCTGCTCCCCAGGCCCTGATCTCCTCTGCTCCATTAGGGAACATTTTTCCATTTGCCTTTTGTCTGCCAGAAGTTTGTTTAAATCATTTAACAGATGCTCCCTCCTGTTTTCTTGGTGTTTATAGGTCATATTTTTTCTTATTCCTTTACTATCATCTTGATGGACTCTTGGGAGGAAGGGAAGGAGAGCTCATGTACTCAGTCTGCCATCTTGAACCAAAAATCTAAAGTATTATTGATAATATTAGAAAACTGGAGCCAATCTAATCATCCCTCAATATGGAAATACTTAAGTGGTGTTATATCCATTGTATAGAATGTTCTACACTCAAAAAATAATGAATAAGCTTCATATGTATTAATATGAAAGGATATCATGACGTTAAAATAAGAAGCAAATGGCAAAAAATGTGTGCAGTAATATCAATTTTAGAACAAATATATTTATTTGTATTTTCACAAAGGACTGGAGGATACCCACGGAACTGTGATGAGTGGTCTTTTATCTGTCTGTCCACATGAAGGCAGTGGATCAAGCAAGGTGTTGGCACAATGGAAAAATTTCATCTTTTTGCTCTGTATTGTTCAAAATTTTTATAATGTGCATGAAAAAAATCTTTGGCTTGTCATACAAGTATAAGACATCATATTTAAATTGTCTAATATTCCCCATATAGACAAGCGTTCAACTAATAAATAAAAGCTTGCAAATTATAGACGATTCATGATACTTGATATTTAAAATGCTGACCATTATTACTGTTTAAAACTTCCAGCATGCTTAAAAGTAAAGATATTGCCAGTTTATTTTAAAAAGATTACAGACTTTAAAAAAAATCCCTTCCAAGTCTAAAGCTCATGACAATGTAACATGTTGGCCGGTAGAACATGTCTTGTCGAATCAAGTTTTTGCTTGGTATGCTTTTATGTCTGATTTCTTAACTGTTCCATAACGACATTAGTAAACCGAGCAGGCTCAACTATGCCAAACGTTGATATTTCAGCTAAAATAATTTTACATCTTATTATTAAGGAAGAGGCAAGTAATATAAAATGTCAATCATTTTAATAACATTAGATTTAACTTATTTCCAAAGAGCAGGGTTCAGAACAACTCATGTCCAAAAGGAGAATACATATACATAGCCTACAACAGATAGAGGGGTTCCAAAGTCTTTTCCATTAGAAAAAAAAAAATCTAAGAATCTATAAACCACCAACTAGTCTATATTTTGTAGCATGTGGACAAATTCACATTGACCACTCAACTGAAAAGTAGAGCTCAATTCTATAGAATTTCATTGGTTTCCAACCTAAAGTGAGACAAACACCCTTCTTCCTAAAATCTGTGCACCATTACACGTCATGGTTTCTCCAGCTTTGCTCAGAGAAACAGTCAGCAGCATGAAAGGCTGAGCTGGCCTGTCCTCCTGCCCCCCGCCCGTCCCGGTCAGCGTGGGCCAGGCTCCCTGCGAGTTCCAGCAGGGCCAGGGCCAGAACTCGGCCTTCAGAATCTGAGTCCAGCACGCTCAGTTCTTGATGGCCAAACCAAATTAAACCATAAACTCAGAGTCAGGTTGAATGTGCCGTCACTACTTACATAGTAGCCAAGGCTTTTGGTACACACCTCTCCTTCTTCTCTGTAGTTTTTGATTTTTAAATTTCCATTTTCATAACCTAACTGTATAATTACATCTTTAGAAACTAACTCTAAATCTTTTCTGAAGCAAGCAAAATAAAGAATGTCTAGTTTTAAAAGTCAGAAGACCATGCATGTAAAAATGCTTAGAGACAAAGAGCTATCCATTCATACAGAATGACCACTATTATATAACTAGGGCAGGTCATGTAAATAGTGAGCGTTTTTCAAATGAGCTGATTAAACCATCTTCTCCAGCACTAATAACACAAGTCCTTCTGTTTTTATAGAAATCTACTTTCTATCTCTATCATATTTGAAGAGTTGGGTCAGTAGAAAATACAAAGTATTTCACAAGGAAAGTTTGATTTGCATTACTAAAGAACTAAAGGAAAATCTGGAAAACAATAGGGCCACTGAACAAAATTTGTTAAAGTTGTGCATTTTAAAAAGGCAATGACACAAATTTGAACTATTCATCTCCTCTGTATTGCCTATTCTGCAGGACAAATGTATGCCAACAGCCAAACCAATTTTGTGAACCAAGTCAAATTTTAATACAAAATACAGTTAACATAGTCAGCAATCACAAGGTAAGAAAACCACAACTTTCATCATTACCTGGAAAATAGTGGAGAAACCCGCCACATATCTCTTTTGAAAAAATGTTTCAAATGTTTGAAAATATGTAATGTAAAAAGTAGTCACTGCATAACTCAAAAATAGCTGGACAGACCTGTGCTGTAATGGCTTACACATAATCTTAAGCAATCCCATGTAATGTAACTTTAAAGTTCTACAGACTTTACAGAACAGGAGACTTAGCAGGATAAGTTGGATAGGTAAAGACAATGCCTGTGATGAGAAAAAGATCACCCAAACCACTGTGAATTTTATGGGATGTAAGTTATAGCTCAATAAAATAAGGAAAAAAGAAAAAAAAAGAAAGAGCATTCCAGGTGATGCTATAGACAGAAGCTCCTGTTCATCACCTCTGGAACCTCCCTCACTAAAGCCTGCTCTTCTGTTCCCACTCGCCCTCCCTTGCCCACGTGGCACCATGTCATATTGCCACGGACTCTGCATTCCTCACGCACCCCCCTGGTCGCTGGGCATGGGACGTTCACCTTGACTTTCTGAATCACCCTTCCATTGACTCTGGGTACTTCCATTCTCCTTTGCCGCCTCTTCATCTTTTTTAGGAGGAGATGGAATTTTGATTCCATGAAGCTTTGACTACTGACAAGCTCTCTGAGACAAAGGAAAGGGAATGAATGTTTGTCCGTTGTTAATAAGTGCCAGGGGCTCTGCTGCATCCTGAATATCTATTATCCTAATGATTCTCACAAATACTTATAAGGTCAAGATTCTTATGCTATCCACACTCTAGATGACAACACTTAGGCTCTGGGAGGAGTTTCTGTTCAGACATCCAGTGGCTATTTACCCAGGGTATCTGTTTTATTTTCAGAGGGTGCAGCCTAAAAACCCCTGACTGAATAGGACTTACGGAATTCAAGCCAGGGAAAACACACAGCTCATAAAAAGTGGCATTGTTTGCTGGTGTATTGCAACACACTCACACTTCAAATAACCCCTCAAGAACATTTTCCATTCTAGGAGACAGGATGTTTTTGGAGATGTGATCTCCTAATAGTACAATAGAAAGGAGGAAATTTTTTGCAACTAAAAATAACATACCAACTGTGCACTGGGAATTCAGGCTTATTGCCACTTTGATGGCTTCTGGGTTTGCCATAGTAAACGTAACAGCTTTCCACTTTCATGAAAGGTTTGTCTCGGAGTCCCATTGGCCATTCTTTCCTCCTCCCACCAATAAAGCTAAGCGAAGCTAATTTTGGTTGCATTTGACTTGGGGAGAAGGACGAACTACAGAACCTAGAGTTCTGGGGTCTGGAGTTATCTTCTGGGTTGATCCTACAACTCCAAATTTGCAAAATTAATGATCTCTCAACTGCTACAGCCATTGACTCTTGCACAGCCAATGGCAGACCAGAACTCGGTTCTGAGAACTGCTGTGGGTGTTACCCCTCCCTTGCTGTGTGACCGTGGCAAGTTACATAGTCTCCCTGTGCCTGTTTCCTTATCTATAGAATAGGAAGAGAAAGTTCCTACCCCCTAGGGCTGGTAAGAGGACTCAGTGATCTAATAACGTAAAGCACTAAGAATAGTATCTGTGCTATTTAAGTTCCTGTTCAATAAATAATTAAAACATAAAAATGACTATTGTTCATTAACTGACTTTAAGAAATTGCCTTTCTTATAGTATTTTGTTAACTGATTTGTACGTGCCTAACTGATTTAGAAATTGGTAAAAATTAATCTGTAAGACCTCAATTGCTTTGTATAAAATGCAATCAGCCAGACAGGAAGAATCAACAAAGATCTTTTGCAGGAAAATGGGTTTAAAATGCCCTCTCTATTCTAATGATACTGCCCAAAATGATTGTTGACTGGCTCGGCAGCTGTTCAGAATATACACACATACTGTTTCCCCAGGCAGATGAGGCAAAAAGAAGAGACCAATGGCTTTTGCTTTCGAACCCCAGGGAGTGAAGGTCCAGACAGGATCATCAAATGCCCCCAGCCACCTCAAGCCCCCAAAGAGCAAAAGACGCACATCTCTCTCAGCTTTTCAAAGAGCCTCCCCCATCTCAGCGAAGCAACTTAGCCCACTGTTGAATTCATAACCATGTTTCTCTTGGAAAGAACAAAGAAAGACTGGTTTACATGTGTAGATATGAAACATTCACTAGCAATTGGGGCTTTTTAAACTTTCCCTACCCAAGCTTTTCATGTCAAGAGGGAGGGGTGCTCTGGACGCCGCTGTGTTCATCCCACAATCCTGGAAGAGCGAACCACCTGGCAGGGCCAGATGGGGGTCCTCCGGAGGAAGACCAAGCTTACCCAGATAGTTGTTGCTCTTGTGCATCTCGGTGATGTTGATTTTGGTGGCTCCTTGGGGAATCTCAACCACGCGGTGGTAGCCCAGGCTGGTGAGGGCATGCTTAAACACGCCGGACACAACCTGACAGCCCGTGTTATCGCCTCCGCACACCCCGCACTTGTCCACGACTTTGTCGGAGCCTAGGTAGTCGTCGCAGCCGATGCTCTGCAAAGAGGTGGAAAACAGGAGACTCGTGTAGCGTCTGTCAGGAGCACCCGGGGAGGAAGGGGCGAGGGCTGCAGATCTGCTGGTGGGACTGGGACCGACCTCCCTCCTGCCCCATCCAGCTCCTGCAGACGAGCCACCTCACTCTGCCCTTTACTCAACAGATATTCACGGAGCAACCTCTCTGGGGAGGGCTCCTCTTTTCTAGGCACGTGTGACATGTACATTCTAGGGACAGGGAGGGGGCCACAGGCAGTGGAAACAAGACAAGGAAACAAAATAGTGCCTTTGGTGGTGCTACATGAGCAGGAGAAAAATAATGCAGGGAAATGGGATGGGAGAGTGTGGGGCATAGGCAGTGACGTCCCACAAATCCATTGCCCTGTTGGGCGCTGAGAGAGGACAGGCTAGGCCGTGCTGGGATTTTTATATGAAGAAGTTCTTGGGGACCATGACAAGTGCAGCACCTACAACGGCCTTTTTCCTAAGTGTTCTGTTCCAAATGACAGACGATATATACACTCAATCAAGTAACCCCCAAAATAGTGTTCTCAGGCCCAGTTTCTTAGGAATTAGATTAAATTGGTTGAGATCTGGGTCCCTGTTGGTCACTGGGGCTCTGAGGAGCTGAGCAGCCAGACTTTTGCTTGGCTCCCCCAAAGCACTTTCCCAGGGCAGAAGGGTACAGGGGTAGCAGCAAGCTGGGTAATACGTGTCTAAACAAGGGGCGCACACAGCTCGCATGGGCAGCCTCAGCAGTGTTTAAAGGAACTCTGACTTCCCTGCATTTCCTCCCCCAAAGAATCTTCCCATCACTCATTCCAAGTTTTTTTTTTTTTTTTGCTTTATCTCCCCCTCCCCATTCATGCTTCTGATTGGGCAATTGTATTTTGCATAAAAAATTAAAACTTGGACCAGAATGGTGCAATCTTCATGGAATCCTTTTCCACTTCTGGAGCTGATTCCATAGCGCTCACAATTGTGCTTTCTGAGTCCAAAATTGGGACACATGGTATGAGCAAAGAATTCTGTCACATTTCCTCAGGCAGATGGAAGTGAGTGGATTGTAGTTTGGACAATGAAATATTGGATGACAGAGCTATTTCACTGAGTTATGGGGATCGGGAATGGTGCTTGAAATCAGAATGGAATTCTAAAATTTCAGACATATGTTTGCTGAATCACAGGCTTGTGTTAGTTCTTGAATTCTAAGAGCCATCATCAGACCTCATCTGGGGCGAGGGGTGGTGGGTGGGGAGCAAAATGGTCAGCAAATCATTCAAAGTCCGCTTTTGCTTTTATTAAACAGCCCTGGGTCTGTTCATGTGGGTCCTACAGGTCACATCCTCCAGGCAGAGTGAAGTCCAAAGGTGTTCATCCTTCCCCTCCCACTTCACGTCTGACTGACATCTTTCTGCAGGCTCTATAAGTCTGCATGATTACTTCCATATTCCTGAGTGCACATTAATCCATCAATAATAACTGGTCTCTCTTCACAAATAGCTTCTCTGTAAAACATTATTTCTGACAATAACAAAACATCATCTCCATACAGTCATCCATATCCAATTAGCCTTTCGAAATGTCATGTTTGCTATTTATTTCTCCTCCCTCAAATATTTCTTGCCCCTGCCCCATGCACACTGTAGCAGAGAAATAAAGAAAGCATGCTTTCCGTGCACGATTTCCACTGCCCCACCCTCCTTGGTTCTCCTTTGGAACAAACAAACAAAAAATGCAACCACCATCAGAGATTTTGGAAAGTAGATTCATGTTGCCAAAGAAAGACTAACAGAATGAAGGTGATGCCTCTATTACTGATTGGGAAGATGGACAGAAAAGCAGGTTGGCACTCACTCCCTGCCCTGTCTAGCAACATCTCACCCTCCTTCCTTTTGTCACCTTAAGGGTCCATTCCTGCTACACCCAGGCTCAACTTGTGCCAGATGGAGCTCATTCTTATGGGGTGCTCCAGGCAAAGGAGACAATGTGCATGCAGACACGGCGGTAGGAAAGGACACGTCGGAAGTAAGAAGTAAGAAAGTATGTTCACCGACATGCTGAAGGGAAAGGTTGCTGGGATGGAGGAAATGAGGCTGGAGCACTCGGCTGAATTCGTCAAGAATCTTGTTCGCCAGGGTGAAGAATCAGAATTTTATCCGATGGCATCAGCAACCAATGGACGTCTGGACAAGTGGAGGGCTGTGCGCAGATCTGCTTTTCAGATGGTAGCTTGGGCTGTGGAGTGGGTGGGTCCTCGAGTGGCGAGAACAGGCAGTCTAGTGAGTCTCTCTCTCTTGCAAACAGAGGGTAGGAAGTGACGAGAGTTGCCAAAGATGGGACAGACATTGCATCTATCCCCAGCCCCCAGCCCAGTTAGAGTGGGGTGGTCGTAAGAAAATTACACAGACATGGACTGCTTCAGACAACCACAGACACAGATGAAACATCATTTTATCTTGTGAATCAGACATTATGTTAAAATCCTTTGCACAGCTCGATAGCTTCCCACCCTCCCACCAGATTTCCTGCACAGCACGGCCACTCTGGATGAACCTAGACCCGGGGAGCGAGGGCTGCAGCGGTTTTCCCTGCTAGACGCCCAGCAGCCTGGGGTTGGCTTCAGTGAAGTGTATGGCCACACCACTGGTGCCAAGGATGAAAGGGGAGACATCCTGCTCCTCAGGGTTTGGAGCGCCCAGGGCTCACTCCTCAAGAGAGAAATCAGAACAAGGGGTGTGTGAACTTTCCCTGAGGGGTGACAAGAAGCTGACAGAGCACTCTTCCAGCGTTCTAGTGCTTACTCAGGGTCTCTGAGAGACTGGGTGGCCAAGGAGTTGCCAAATGCCCCATATGTGCTTCACAAAGCAGGAGGGACAACCCCACAATGAGAGCTGGGCAGACAACATGCAGTCAAGATCTTTAATTTTAGGCAATTACACATCTGACAAATGTCCCTTCTCCAACATGGCTGCCGTGAGGAGCAGACGATACAATGAGGGAAAACTTGGATGGGGTGCTTCAGGCAGGGCATGGCTAAGGAAGTGACTTTTGGGCCAGGACCTGAATGACAAGAGGGACCAGCCATGGCAGGATCTAAACATGTAAATGTGCACTTCACCACTGAGGTTTCTGAGTGACCACCAGGCTGGTGGGCGAGGAAACCCCAGGCTGAATTCCACTCAGGTCTTGTCTTTGGGAATTCGAGTCTAATGGGGGTGATGAGACACATATACGGATAATCACAAGCCATTGAGCAAGAGGCATCCTGCATTCTCTGTGTCCTGCAGGATCAACTGTTTTTCAGAAAGTCGTTCATTAATAATGGGGCACATAAAAGTCTGGAGGATGCTGCAACGTCCCAGGCTGACCTAGGGGAATGGTGATGGAGTGATGAGGATGTGAGATGCACGCAGGAAGCAAAATGGACAGACCTTTGCGACTGACCAGTGGAGGGAGAAGAGGCAGCCTGGATCCCTGCACTCTTCTTCCTCTCCTCCTCCTCGTCCCATCCTTCTAAGTGTCGTCGTATTTACATTTACCAAGCTTGTACTCCAGCCCAGGTCCTCCAGACATGTACTTTTCTCATTGAATCTTAAAAACAATCTGTGATGTTGCTGAAGACTGTAGGAAACTAGGACTTAGCAGAGAGGTTATGTACCTGGCCCAAGGCCATGCTGCTGGCAAGAGCTGGAGCTGGGATTTGAGGCCAAACCCCACGCTCTTGACCATTAAGCAGAAGCCCCCCCAGCCCTAAAAGGATCCGAGGTCATGCTGAGGGTTCCAGCTTTGTCAAAGGAGTGATGGTAGCGGTGACCTAGGTGCATTGTCACCATAGTCTTGGTGACAGCCTGGCCCAGAAGTGACTCTGGCATTCTCCTCTTCCGATGTTATGAAGCACCAACCACATCTGTCTCTCTCCCACATCGGCCGTTTTAATCCTTTACTTTACACACAGTAAGTCATGAAATATTTTAGCTCATCTTCCCTTTACATTTTTTATTGCTATAACCGTTTATTTTGAAAAACCTGTGAATAACGCCGCAATGAACATAGGGGTACATATATTTTTTCGGATTAATGTCTTGGGATTTTTTGGATAAATACCTAAGAGTGGTATTGCTGGGTCATAAGGTAGTTCCATTTTCAGATTTTTGAGGTACCTCCATACTGATTTCCATAATGGCTGCACCAGTCTGCATTCCCACCAGCAGTGCTTGGAAACAACCAAAATGCCCATCGGTAGATGACTGGATTGAGAAACTTTGGTACATTTACACAATGGAGTATTATTCAGCTATAAAGAAGAAGGAAATAGTACCGTTTGCAACAAGATGGACGGAACTAGAGAACATTATGCTAAGTGAAATAAGTCAGTCAGAGAAAGACAAATATCATATGATCTCACTTATACGTGGATTCTAAGGAATGGAATGGATGGGAGAAGTGGATGGAGATAGTCTCAGAGACACAGAGGAAGAACTGAGGGTTGTTAGTTGAGAGGGGGTGGGGATGAAGGAGAGGGGAAGGGATGAGACAATACAAATTGGTAATTGCAATATGGCCTCAGGGATAGAAAAAGACAGTCCGAGGAATATAATCAATAATGTTGTAAATATTTCTTAGGGGGCCAGATGGACCCATGTCCTGTTGGGGAGTCCACTTCATAGTCAATGTAGAGGCCTGACCACCGCATTGTATTTCTGAAGCTGAAGTTGAATAATATAGTATGTAAACTATAATTATATGTATACATATAGTCTCAGGACATGGAGTAGAGAGCGGGAATGGATTCAATGGAATTGTAATAGATAAGCACGATATCGGGGGTGGGAGGGCAATAGATGGGGGGAGGCGGGTTGTTACTTTGTGAGGGTGAAAATGGTAACTATTGCATTGTTCTGTACACCTGAAACTAACAATAAAAAAAAAAAGAAAGAAAAACCTGAAGTTGCAAAAACAGTACAGTGTTTCAGGGACCCTTTACCTGGCCTCCTCTA